TGTGACTGTTCATGGGAGTAGAAAGTCCGGTTTTTCTTCTACGGAGCAGGTGTTGGTTTCAAACTGCCGACCTTGCCGTTAACAGCCCAATCGGTACGCCAACAGGGCCACAACCAAAGTACTGAGTTAATATACCACAAATACTCCAATGACAAACCTGTCATTGGATGTGAGAGCCAATGTGTGTCAGAGTCAAGATATGAATGACTGCCTGCAGCTGTCACTCCAAAGCTCTTGCTCTTAGATAGCACGCTGAAAACGTAAAAAACCCCAAGCTCCCTGCCATCGAGTCAGTTCCAACTCATAGCAACCCGGCAGGAATAGGGCAGGGGAGAACTGCTCCTGTGGGTATCAGCGACTGTGAACAACAAACTCTTCTGGAAATAGACAGCCTCATCTTTCGCCCACACGACCACAGCACGACCACAGCCCCTGGGTTATCAGTGGCGCCAATTCACACAGGAGCACCTCCAAAGTCACAGGCATAAAATCCCGATGGGGGGCTCAGTTCTACTTGGATGGGGGATCACCATGAACCAGGCAACTGGATAGCTGATATGTTTCAGTGGACCCTCAGATCAGCCAGGGTATTAGTGAATTGGTGCCCTTGACCATTTAAAACAAAAACACAATGTCATCAAATAGATGCTGACTCCTAAGTGACCCTATGGGGACAGAGTAGAACTGCCCCTGTGGGTTTCTGAGACTGTGAGTCTTTACAGGGGTAGAAAGCCTCATCCTTCAACTTAATTAGAGAGTTTAAATGATCTGTTTAGAGAAATAATTTGTTCAGCACGAGTTAATAGTTAACCTCAAGGACTTTGGAGCTAGATAATGTATTCAAATCCCTGCTCCACCACGTCCTGTATGTCCGTGGCAAGTTACTTCACTTCTCTGTGATTTAGTATCCTCGTCTACAGTACACCATCTAGGCTCCCAAAGCTGTCCACATCCTAATCCCCAGAACCCGGGACTATGTCACCTTACATGGTGAGGGAACTTTGCAGATGTGCTATTAAGAAAGCTGCTGAAATTATCTAGGTGGGCCCAACATACACACGAGAGAGGCAGGAGGCCCACAGACACGGAAGACAATGGGATAGTGGACAAAGCGGGCAAAGAGAGCTACTAGGAAATGCTTTGCTGTTGGCTTTGAAGATGGAAGCTGAGAAGCTGGGGCCAGAAGCCAAGGAATGCAAGTAGAGACTAGAGAGGCAAGGAAATGGAGTCTTCTCCTGGAGTCTCCAGGAGTACAGCCCTACCAAGCCATCTTAGGACTGGTCTCCAGAAATGTACAAGAGTAAAACTGTGGTATTTTAAGCCACAAATTTTGTGTTAATTTGTTCCAGCAGCAATAGTAAACTAATATTAGGGTTACCATAAAGATTAGATCATACAACAGTCTTCAAAAATGTTGTGGGGATTAAAAGAGAACAGCATCTTTCCACGAACTCTCTGAAGCCTCCTTGTACATGCACAATGTTAAGAACAATTCCTAGCACCATAGTAAGAGTTCTTTATATTTTAGCTAGTATGAACCCAAGATTTTGGGAAGACCCACGAAGTACTTCAGAGGTTAAGAAGGTTCAAACACTCAGTACTATCTGTCTAAATTTAAAATGCACCCATCTTTTGACAGAGGCAGTCTGCTTCTAAATAGATTCATAGGCTATTCAACACATCCAGTCTTGTAAACTAACTCAAATATCATCCATTAACAAGCTAAAAGTATGGGGGAGGAAATCTTATGAAATATGAGGCAGTCTGTAAATAATAAGGTTGACCTCAATGTGTTGCTATGGGAAGTTCCACAAAAGGTATCCCTTAGTGAAAGAAAGCGAAGTATACAACAGCGAGCCCACTAGGCTTCATTTGGGATTTAAAAGGAAAAGGGTATAGGCACACATTCACAAATACACAAGAAAAAACTCTGGGACATCCAGTTAACTGTTACAGGAGACTGCCTCTGGAAAAGAAGGCTAGAGT